AAACACCTCCCAATAATTTTTTTTTTAAAAAAAACAATGAGACTGTGTAAACTGATTCAGCAATCCCATCTGCGAGTCGCGTTACTCTCATTGTCTCTTCACGGTATTAGGTAACGGGGTTCTTGAACCCGTTGCCAGGGCTCATAAGCCCGTTGCCTAGTACCGTGAAGGTAATTAGCAATAGGGGTGTAAACAAATCAAATAATTTTAATTCGATTCGTGATTCGAATTCGAATAATTCGAATTCGAATCCGAATTCGAATACCTATTTTGATTCGAAATTTATTCGAATCCGAATACGAATCGGAATATATTCGATTCGAATACTATTCGAATATATATATATATATATATATATATATATATAATAGAATCTATAATATAATATAATATAATATTATATTATATTTTTATATTAAAAAATAAAAAATAAACCCTAAGTTCCCTAAGTCAGTATCACAACGTGAGACTTGAGAGAAAACTGAACAAGCAACGCCGCTATTCTCCAACTCCAAGTCGCTATTCTCCAACCGCTTCAGTCAATCGCAGTCTGCACTTCCGGTCGCCGGAGTGCCGACTCCGGTCGTGACTCTGCCCTCCTCAAGCTCCAACACGGCAACACCTCATCTCCATTCTCTCCAATCTCCTGACTCTAGAGTCTAGAGCCCGAACTCCAAGACTGTGACGGCTCCGTACTTCCGCGACAGAGAAGCTTCAACATCTGCACTCCAATCTCAAGATCTATGACGGTTTCGCGCTAGAGAAGCTCCAAGCCTCCAACGCCAACACTCCAGATCTGTGACTGTTCCGGCAGCAATGGACGGCAAGGGCATGACGGCGGCGACCGATAACAATGGTAATAGCAGTATGTTGATATATATATATATATATATATATATATATATATATATATATATATATATATATATATATATATATATATAAAAGATGTAAACATATATCAAACAGAGAAATAACATACTGTAAAAATATACAGTATGTTATTTCTCTGTTTGATATATGTTTACATCTTTTATATATATATATATATATAAACAAAGAAATTGATATATATGTTATAGTAATCAAAGCATTTGTTAGTTTGTTTACCGTATGTTTTGTTATTTAACTGATTATGTGAATTGAATTTGAAAATTATTTATTTTATATTATTATAGTACTCAAAAAGAAATTATTGAATTTGTGGGCAGTAGATTCTTCCTTGGCTATTCAATCTTCAAATCCAAATGAGCAAAGACAAGGAGATGATGTTAGAGAATATGAGGAAATAAATTATGGTGATTTTAATGAAGTTAATGATGGAGGCCTTGAAGGTGATAATGTTCATGACTTGGATGCTAATGTGGAAGTTAATGATGATGGTATAGAAAATGAAAATATAGAGGTTGGAGATGAAAAAGGTGATGATGAGAAGGAATGTGAAAAGAATGATGATCAAGAACAATTTCAAAGGAAGAAAAGAAAGAGGGTATCAAAAGCTCACTTTGATTTTACTGAAGTTACTGCAAAGGATGTAAGTATAAAGCTACAATGTATACATTGTAAAACACTCCTTTCTAAGTCAGCGTCTTCTACAACAACTCATCTTTGGAACCATTTGAATAGGTGTACACAAAAGAAGCTTCAAACAAAAAATCAAAAAACCTTGCAATTTCAGAATGCAAAATCCAAGTTTGAGACACCTCCTTTGTCCGATGGTAAATATGATCATACAAAGCAAAGAGAAGCTATTGCTCATTGGATTCTGATGCACGAGCAACCGTTAAGTGCTGTGGAAAATTTTGGCTTTACTTTCATGATGAATGTTAATCTTCCACAATATGAGAAAGTCTCTCGTGCCATGGCAAAGAATGACGTCATTACTGTTTATGAAATAGAGAAGAAAAAGTTACAATTGCTATTAAGAACCATCAATAAGATATCATTGACCACTGATATTTGGAAGTCTAAGGTGCAAAATGTTTCATATATGTGTGTCACTGGACACTTTGTTGATTCAAATTGGCAACTTCAAAAGCGTGTACTTAGTTTCATGCCTCTTCCTCCTCCGCATACTGGTAATGTTCACTTGTTTGTAAATATATTTCTATAATAATTAATTAATAATAACTATTTCTTGAATTTAATTATATTATTGTCATATTTCAGGTGTTGATATCATTGATGGGGTTATGAAGTCCACAAAGGATTGGGGAATAGAGCATAAAATCTTCACTATTTCAGTGGACAATGCTTCAAACAATGATGTTGCAGTTAGAATTGCCAAACAAACTTTCTCCAGGAGTCATAAGCTACCTTTGGGTGGTAAGCTATTTCATGTGAGATGCACTGCTCATATATTGAATCTTGTTGTTCAGGATGGTATTTTTGCAATTAAAACCATTGTTGATGATGTTAGGAATAGTGTGCGATTTATTAATCAGTCTGAGTCTAGGTTGATGAAGTTTTCTGAAATTGTGCATCATTTGGGAAATCCGGTGAAAAAGTTAGTTCTTGATTGTGTTACTCGTTGGAATTCTACATATGAAATGTTAGTTGTGGCCCTTAAACTTAAGGATGCATTCCCAATATTTGCACAAAGAGAGCCTTCATATAAATGTTGTCCTAGCTTGGAAGATTGGACTAGAATACAGGATGTTCTTAGCATCTTAGAGGTGTTTTATGAAGCTACTCAAGTGATCTCTGGAACTAAGTATCCCACTTCTAATGTTTTTCTTGGTGTTGTTTGGAGGGTCAAGCATGTCTTAAATGAAAATGAGTTTCATCATGAAGAGGTCATTAGAAATATGATTGAAAAGATGAAGAAAAAATTTGACAAATATTGGGGTGATTGCAATCTTTTGATGTCTATTGGAGCAATACTTGATCCTAGGTACAAAATGAGGTTGGTTGATTTTGCTTTCAACCAAATATATAATGCAAATGATGCACGTGCAAATGTGAAGAATGTTAGGGATGCATTACATGACTTGTTTTATGAATATGTTGAAATTGATAACATGAGAAATCGAAGAGGTAGTTCTTCTGTGACACATGTTGGGAGTTCGGTTGTTACTTCTACACGCTTTACTTCTAAAGAAAAAGTAGTCCTTTCTGGTTTGTCTTTGTATGATAAATATTTAGACAGTGTTGAAGATGTAACTCCAAAAAAATCAGAGTTGGACATTTACTTGGAGGAAGGGGTTTATAGGTGTCAAGATGGTGAAGTAACCTCCCCTGTATTTGATGCCTTATCTTGGTGGAAATCTCATGAATTGAAGTTCAGTATTTTGTCTAAATTAGCCCGTGATGTTTTAGCTATTCCAATTAGCTCCGTGGCATCAGAAGCCACATTTAGTGCGGGTACCCGAGTTCTAGATCCTCATTGTGCTAAACTATCTTCTGACATGGTGCAAGTTTTAATTTGTGGAGCAGATTGGGTTCGTCAACTTCATGGGATCAATAAGCCTATTATGACATATGTAAGTTCTACTTTAGTAATTTAATATATCTTATTGATTTAATGATAATAATTTTAACTTTATTTTTATTTTTTTGTAGGAGGAAGAAGAACCAATTGATGTCATATTGCAAGCATGATGGCTGGGGGATATTTGAAGTTTAATTGTGATTGTTATTGTAGTACTTAATTTTTGAATTTGATTGACTTTTTTTGGGTTGATGTTGAAGCTTAATTCAAACCTAATATTCTTAATCTAGTATTTAATATATGAATTTGATGATTGACTTTTTGTTGTTATTTTAATCTGATTCTTGATTAGTGTATTAATGTAACATTTTATGCTATTTAATTATAAATTTTTATTACATTTTTTCTTAATTTATTAGAAATTTTTTTTAAAAATTAAGTTAGCCATTTCGAATTCGAATATTCGAGTCGAATCAAATATATTCGAATAAACTGGTCGAATCGAATACGAATCAAATTTAAGATTCGAATATTAAACGAATACGAATACGAATATTCGAATATATAGTCGAATTCGAATCGAATAGTGAGATATTTGACTCGATTCGATTCGTATACACCCCTAATTAGCAATGAGACATGATTACTTATTAGTGTTCACGGGCTTCCTAAGCACGTGAACATATGTTTATGTTTTATATATAAATTCTATAATAATAATATTTTTTTAAAACAAGAATAAACTTTAATTCATAGAATCCAAAACAAGAACGTCGTGAACAAAACAAGGAGGAGTGGCATACCACTCCCCCGGGTCACAGACAAAGAAACGGTATTTCTAACTAACGCATGGACAGTCCGATTTGTGACCTCCGAACAAACTTGAAGCTCACATCGCTAAACTACATCATGACTTCTTTAATATCATAAATAATAATACCAAACTCGAAATTAAAATTATTAAGATTCAAAGCTGAAATCACTAATTGAGCAGCTGTTTCCACATCCACATTATCGTAGTTCATCTCTTTAAGCCAGCTTAATGTTTCACGGATGCTCACCGCTTCGGCCACCTTCGTCGAATAACACTGTTACACCCCGTGTTACGGCTTCGTATCCGGACTAATTATGAAATTAAATCCGTTAACATATAATTAAAAATGATTTAATTAGACTAGGATTCGCATTAATTAATTAGCACAGTTCACAATGGACCATTGACCCTTATCCTTAACCAAGTCTTTAATTCTATAAGGAATAGGAAAAGTAGGCCTTTGCTATTCAGATTCTATTTAGGACTCCTGGATCTATACATAGGGAATTAGAAAGAGTTTAAAAACCCTGCCACAATTAATTATACCGCGCAAGATATTCCCCGAGGAAACCTAGCAAAGGAATTCCCCGCCACCAAACATAGAGGAATCCGTTGGAGGGAGATCTTAGGGAAGAACCTTAGTAGCCAAGGATATTGATTAGGGCTAAAGAGGTAACCCATGTCTCAACAAAACCAATTTTCCTTGCTATATCTTATTTATTAGCTCCTTTGATAATCGTATGTGTAATTCTGTGATTGAGTCTTGATAGAGCCCTTGCATAGGATTTATATTGTGCTTATTTGATGATCTTGATGTTCTTGATATTGTGATTGACTATATGTATGATCTCGTATTTTGATTATGTCTAGAGCACTAGGGTTTATATTGTGAATTTCGTATTATGATGTTCTTGGTATATTTGGGTGGGAATATGCATGATCGGGTGTTGAGTCTAGCCTAGGACTTGTATTTAGGACTTTGCATATAGATTTCTTGATGTTCTTGTTGTTCCGGTTGCTCTTGAACCATTATATGATTTATGTTGGGTCTTGGTATGTTTAGGAGTCGTGTTAGAACGTATTTGGAATGATTCTTGATTTAATTCCGTTAATTGAATCCGTGGGGTCATCGTTATGTGTTGGAATGTGTCTGGACACGGTTCCGGGTTCCACGAGTGATCCCGGGACCGAAAAGTTGCCTATGTACCAGTAGGGGTAGGTGGGGGGATGACCGCCCACCACCTACCCGCTGCCCGGCGAGCCCAATCAAAAGGGCAGCCGGCGGGCGGAGGCCTCTGCCCGCCGGCCACCCGCTGGAATGGTGACTGCCCGCCGGCGGGTGGCTGCCTGCCACCTACCCGCTGGAAGGTGGGTACGGGGCGTGGTGTTTTCCGTTTTTTGTTTCCGCGTGTCCCGTTGTACCCCAATTGTCGTGTATGAGTCTCGTTTGGTGTTTTGAGTACCGTTCTAGGAATTTATGTGTAGTACGTGTCGTTATTGTTATGTCTTAATTGTTATTTGATTGATTATGTGTTTATTGATTGAATGATGATGAGTATCGTGGTCATTGTGCAATAGCCGGTGTGATTAATGATGATGATGAGATTGTGATTGGCGGAAATGAATTGTTGGCGGTTGGCACCACTTGTGCCCGGTCATTGTACTAAAGGTACAGGCATAGCGGTTACCGTGCTAAAGGCACAAACCCACCTTTGACTTGCTTTCCGTTGAGCATGGGTCAGGTTATAAGTGCTGCGGTGTCATGTCAAGGCTATATGCGTTGACCCCTTGATATTGGCACTAGAGGTGCGGATCATGCGAATGGCACTGCGGCGCTATCTTGATATGTTGGTGGTTCAAAGGTGGTTTGTCGGTGGGGGCATGTAGTTGCCCGGAGGAATAAGGGAGGCGATATAAGGGTGGCCTGAAGGTATATGTTGGAACTGATATAAGGACGGAGGGGAGCTACAAGGTTGGAACTTGGTATAAGGTTGGAAGATGGATTGTGTGACTTGATGCTTACTTGCTATTTGATTGCCTTGAATGCCCTTGTTGTCTCTATTTGCTATTTGTGAGCTTACTTGTCTATTATGCCTTGTATTGTATTCTTAGGACGCATGCTAATTTTTATGATTATTCTATACTGTTGAATCTGTTGTCGTGTCTTGAGTCTGGATCTTGGATTTAAAATAGTGTCTCGTAAGTATATATGTATTCCAATTTCAAAATGATTTCTTATATCTACCTATATTGTACTTAACGCGTTGGAGTGGGTTACCAGCATTATTCGCTGACGGTTGTTACACCGAATGTTTTTCAGGACCAATTGTGTAGCTTCGGAGCGCGCTAGTCAGATTCGTGGACTTAGTTTAGATATGACTAGCCTTGATGAGATGACCTGCGTGCCTTGATTTACAATTGGATATTCATGGTGGTTTATGCTTTGTAAGATAGTTTAGCCTGTGCATCTGAGTTCTCTAGCTCAGATGTGGCATAACACCCCGACTATTATGTTTACTTTATGCTCTGTTTGAGGATTAATAATAGATTTGCCTTTATTCCGGCGGTCACAGATTTTAATCAATAAGTTTGAAATGATTTGAAATTTAGGGGTGTTACAGTTGGTATCAGAGCCTATGTTCGACCCTAGGATAAAACCCCTAAGGACAAGACTTTAGGACATTAAGTTCGAACTCTAGGTACTTAAATACATAGGATCTAGGAAGTTTAGGACACACGGTGAGGCTGTGAGTTTATCTAACATTATCTGCTTAACTTCTCCCTAATCTATTCTGTGCTTAGCTTGAAGAGCCCCCCCCCTCCCCCCCCCCCCCATAAATTATAACATCAAGGTAAGGATGTAAGTCCCTAACCTACCGTTACGATCGGTGTTGATCCTGTAGACACCGAAATGGCACCAACAAGGAGTCAGTCAAGAACCCCAGAGCCTTCTGCCTACGATTCGTTAACTCAGAACCTACAACAATTGACTCAGGTTGCCCAGACACTGAGCAACGCCATCCTCCAAAACAACAACCGACCAGCGCCGCCAAACAGAAACTCAGATATAGCTCGCCAAGTCTCGAGCCATCGCCCGCCTATCTTCTTAGGGGAAGAAGATCCCACGACCCTTGAAGAATGGATCCGAACATTCGACAAGATCTTTGAGGTAGTGGAGTGCCCGGAGGGACGCCGTGTGGAATTAGCCTCGTTCTATTTCGGACACGAGGCCGATCTTTGGTGGGTTCACGAAGGACCTACTTATAGGCAAGAACCGGGATTCAATTGGGAATCCATGAAGGCACGGTTACGGGGACGGTTTTACCCCGCACACATAAGGGCAGCTATGTACGAAGAATTCCTCCACCTGAAACAGGGGATGATCACCGTCATGGAATACCACAAATGATTTCTCGAGCTAGCTCGTTTCGCACCTGAATTGGTGCCTACAGAGGTGACTAAAATAGAGAAGTTTGTAGCGGGCCTCAACTTCGAAGCTCGAAAGGCTCTAACCGTAAGTAAACCCAGGACCCTTAATGAGGCTTACACCAGCGCCGCTGACCTTTACCGGATCCAACTTCTACAACAGGGAGTTCAGGAACAAATCCGCAAGAGGAATATCAGAAGTGGGGGACCGACCGTGAAGAGAACAAGGAAAGACTCTAACACGAGGACGGTTAACCCACCTAATCAAGGGCCGCCTATGAGATACAACAAAACCAACGTGAGACAATTACTTTGCAGAAAATGTAATAAGGACCATAGGGGAAATGATTGCCTCGGAAACGCCTTACGATGCTTCAATTGTGGGGGAGAAGGACACAAGGCCTTCCAATGCACCCAACCCCCAAGTGTGAAGCCTACGGTCATGGTCCAACAAGGGAACGCGAATAATCGAGAGAATTACGCGGCACCTGGAAAGGTATTCGTCATTAGTCGCACCCAAGCCGACCTCGAAGCCGAAGCCGGGGTCGACGCAGAAAACATAGCTCTAGGAGACAAGGACCCCATGAATCAACTGAAAGAGAATCCGGAAGAAGAATTTTGTCTAGGATAGATAAACCACAAACCCTTGTAAACTACCTTTTAGTTGGACTGCTTATTTAGTTTGATTATTTAGAAACCCCCATGCTTTTAATAAAAGCCAAGTTAATTAGTTCAATCAGCTTAAATTCCTCTTACTCGAATTAATTAAAGGACTAAATTCGTGCCTCCTACAATCTATGAATCAGTGGGTGCAACTAGAAAAGTCTAAAACGGTACTCTTCCCACCCTAGGACAAACAAATGATAGGAAACCCTCAAAAGCATAAAAGGAGTGCACTAAAAGGACTAATGTAACCAATGAGAATTAAACCCTAAACCTCCCACTTACAAAACCAAGCTCCTAACCACTAAACCATAAATGTTTCTTCAAACCTCAAGGGAACACAACCTTCTTAACCCCCTCCAAATCCCTAAAACCCACAAAATCCCCAAATCAAAAACTCTTCTCTCATCTCCCCCTTCTCCACTTTTCTCTCTCCCCTCTCTCCTCCCTCTTCCGGCCACACCACGCACACAGCCACCCCCCACTGCCAGCCATTGCGCCGAGCTACGCCCGCGACCACCGAAGCCGCAAACGCCCGCCACCGCCGTCGCCGCCGTGCACCGGGCGGAACCCTCGCCGGAGCTCCCACCGGAAAAAATAGCCCCACACTCGAAGCCACCACCTAAAATTCCCACAATGCCAAAGAGGCATGTCAACACCCAAGTCCCGGAATGGAACAATGCCGACTAAATGGTATTGGGAGGTAAAGCACTTGAGCCCGATCAATTCTCTCCGGAGTTGGTTGATATGCTTAAATTCCAAGGCCTATTAGATACATACCTCGTAATAAAAGAGGATACGTATCCCGAGTTGGTGAAGGAATTCTATTGCCACTTGGTAACTACCAAACGAGGGGACAAGTTGGAGATCACCTCCAAGGTCCGTGGCAAAGAGATAGTGCTCACTGAGGGCCGCCTGATTAAGCTCCTAAAACTGTCCGCCACGGGTGTGTCGGACTATGACCGAAAGGCATGGGTTAGCACCTGAGACACGGGGTACGGGGATTATCTCGGTTATTTGTTGGGAAGATAAGGCGGTTTCACTTCGGCCATGAGGCCAATTAAAAAACTGTTAACCGCCGAGCAAAAATTGCTAGTTATGATTGTGTCCGACAGCTTGTTGCCCACTAACAACAAGAGCAAGGATGTGGGAAGCTTGGAATGCACCTTTGCCTATTTTCTTAAGCATAAGGTGAAGTTCAATTTACCCGCTCTTATGTTGAAGCACATGGAATTCTGTAAGTCTAGCAACCGACTCAGTCTACCCTACGGGATGATTCTGAGTTGGATCATGGAAAGGAAAGGGGCGGACATAAGCCTGGACTGAAGCCAGAACCATGAGTGGGATGGTTTTCAATGCCCAAAACCTCCGCCGCAACGACATCTACCATGTCGGAGAGGGACAGTACATTACCCTCGAGGAGGCTTGCCTGAAATCCCCGGAAGAGCGACGAATGTTAGTGGATCAGTTGGATATAACAAACAAGAAAATGAAATGGACAATGCAAGAGAGCGAGGAGCAGGAGGAGCAGGAAGAAGAAAGCGAGCCTAGCCAACCTGAACCTGTGCAAGGAAGAGGAAACACGGAGGATCGAGACGAGAGGTCCACCAATGAGCGCATCCTCGCGCAACTCATGAGGTAGAATCGGATCATGGATGAGGGATTCTCGTCCTTGATTCTCGCAATGAGCTCATTGGACAGGAAAGTGGCGACAATCGAGACCATGTTGGGTACACGTGGAGCTTCAAGCTCGGGAACTGGAAATCAAGGTATACTCAAAATCTAAATCCTTACTTACCTCCGACCTAATCAACCCCACCCAACACTCGTTAAAATGACAAACTCGAGCCACATTTCCTCAATTAGGAGAACAAATTGCATGACACCTAGGAACAAGGGGAATGATCTGTGTCTGAGCTTCGGGGACGAAGCTCCTTGTAAGGAGGTAGGGTGTAACACCCCCTGTTACGGCCTTCGTATCCAGACTAATTATGAAATTAATTCTGTTAACATATAATTAAAAAGGATTTAATTAGACAAGGATTCCCATTAATTAATTAGAATGGTCCACAATGGACCATGGACCCTTATCCTTATTCAAGTCTTTAATTCTATAAGGAATAGGAAAAGTAGGCCTTTGTTATTCAGATTTTAGTTAGGACTCCTGGATCTATATATAGGGAATTAGAAAGCGTTTAGAAACCCTGCCACAATTAATTATACCGCGCAAGATATTCTTTGAGGAAACCTAGCAAAGGAATTCCCCGCCACCAAACATAAAGGAATCCGTTGGAGGGAGATCTTAGGGAGGAACCTTAGTTGTAACACCCCGAAATTTTTAGACTTTTGAAGCTTATATAATAAAAGTAGAATCTCATTAAATCCCAAATCACAATACAAAGAGTACGGGGTGCTATGCCACACCTGAGCTGGAGAACTCAGGTGCACAGGCTAACTAGTTAATATCCTTAATAAAGAGAATGCATAACATGGCACGCAGGCCAAAAAGGAAACTATCTACTTCTATGCTCTGAGGTTCTAGCGCGCTCCCGTGCCTACTCTTCTGTGCCTGAAAGCCAAATATATCTGTTCAGCGAGAGATGCTGGTAACCCACTCCAACGCGTTGAAATACAATACATATAGATATATACATAGTTATATGAAAACCATTTCGAAGCATGAAGATATATCCTAAGATATATCCTAAGAGACGCGTTGAAATAAGAGACTCACAGATAGAGCTTAGCACAGACAACGGTCATAATCAAGCATATACAATTCATAAGCATAGGGAAACAGGCAAGGCAGATAAAGATAAGCACAGTTAATATCCATAATCCAACATGTACGATTCCCGGCATAAATCCCAAAGTCACATCTTAAGACACTCATAACAACGACTCATCCATATCTCATCACATAGCATACTTTGTTGGTGCCACAGGACCAATCGCATGCCCATACATGAGGGTCAGCGCATATAGCTCTGACACGGCCCCGCAGCACCCTGCCCCGTATCGCAACACGGAGGGGTCGATCGCAACCGACCGATGAACCGTAGCTCATCATAGTTTGATCGCAACCAAACAGTGGACCGCAGCCCAAGAGTATGTCATCTGACCGCAGCCAGGAAATATGAACCGCAACTCATGTATAAACGTTTGATCGCAACCAAACGGTGGACCGCAGCCCTATATAATATTTATATACCTGACTGATCGCAACCGGCCTGGTTAACAGTCCGTATGGTTCTCAACCCATCCAACTGCCCGTATAGCCAATTTGATCGCAACCAAATTGGGGTATCATGCACACATAACACGTAGCAAGCAAATGCAACCCACATTAACACATTGGGAAGGGGGAGAAAACGTATAACAAAACCTATGCGTGATCCTTCACATACTAAGAATAATCCTAAGGGGTTCATACTTCTTTCACCTAGGTCAACGGGATACCAATTCAACTAGCATGCAATATATAAGACTCATACAACCTACGAACGGTACCCGAAATATCAAACTAGACATAGGCACGATAGACGGACTCCGTTGGGACACCATGGGGGTCGGGGGAACATCAAACGGGGAAGCTAAAATCCCGAATCAGGGTGCAAACCAGCCGGTAGCCGGTGGGTGAGGATTCACCCGCCGGCGGCAACTATTCCGGGCAGCGGGCGGCTGCCCGCTACCGGCGTTGCCCAAATAGGCCGCGGGTAGGTGGCGGGTCCCCTACCCCCACCTACCCCCCACTGACTCTTTTTCACCAAAAAAGCCCCGGGAACCTTTGTGGAACCCGAAACCATGCTTAGACACTTTCAAACGCAATTGATAACACACGTAGACAATTAACGGATCAAAATCAAGAAACACACGGCACATAACCTATCATGCTTTTCTAAACATAATCAACACCCAAACATGCAAATTCCCACCCAATCTACCAAGAATAATACCATACGAATTCCACGATATAACCTAGGGTTCTAATTATTTTTAAATCAACAAGAACACAATTCATCTTCTAATATCAAGATTCGGTAGGAATATCATATAAACATCAAGAGCATCATATAATCATCAAGAACACCAAGAACACCATATAATCATCAAGAATCTCTTATCATCAAGGTTACCCATGGAATCATAACACCAATCATCAAGATCATTATAACGAATCATCAACACACAAGAATATGGGGGAAATCCTAAGAGGGGAATCATAGCTATGAAAATAGGTTTTGTTGAGACATGGGTTACCTTTTAGCCTTAATTAATTCCTTGGCTATGAAGGGTCTTTCTTGAAGCTTTCTTCTTTCT